CCAAGCTCATTTGACACAATTCTGACAGCATAGCAACCTGACGCTAGCTTTTTTCTTAGTGACAAAATATGTTCATCAAATCTCAATTTGTTGTCAATGTGCAAACCCAAGAATTTAGTACTCGATTTGTTTTCAACGCGATGTGAACCAAGCGTGAGATTGTCAAATTCGAACTTGAAAGTTATAATATTCGTTTTGTTGGTGTTGAAGCAGAGAGAGTTTGAATTGCACCAAGATTTGACCATGTTTAAGTCGTGTGAAATTACTTCTTTGAGCGTATCTATATTTTTCCCATGCCATATAAGAGTGGTGTCGTCTGCAAATAGTGTGAATTTTCCTGTTATGTTCAAGTAAGCTAGATCATTTAGATACAATAAAAATAAAATCGGGCCCAGCACTGAACCCTGAGGAACCCCTGATTTGATATTTGACCGACTTGAGCATTCATTAGATATCTTGACAATTTGTTTTCTGCCAAGTAAATATGATTCAAACCACTCCAAAGGAACACCTTTGAATCCATAATGATACAACTTTCTCAGCAGTACTCTGTGATCCACACAGTCGAAAGCCTTCGAAAAATCACATAAAAGGCGGCCTGGCATTCTGGGTCCCAGTGGAAGGGGCGTGCTTTCTCGGTGAGACGGATAAGAGGCTTTTCGATATCCGAAAACATCCGAACGTGAAGTCCATAATGGGTGCAGAGTCCAAGGAAGCTCCTGAGGTGATGTTTATTTTTTGGTACTGGCCATTGCTCGACTGCTCGTTCTTCCTTAGGGTCGACTTCCACATCCCGACTTCCTAGATCAAGCGTGAGGTTGACAGCCTCAAGTCTCTTGATAACTTCCTCTAGGTTAGCCAGATGTTTTTCAAAAGTTTTACCGATCACGATGATGTCATCCAAATAAACCAGGCATGCCTTCCAGAAAAGTCCTCGCCGAACGCCCTCCATGATTCGTTCAACATGGCCGAATCCAGTGCCGATGGTGAATGCTGTATTCTCATCATCTGTCGGGTCCATTTCAATCTGCCAATATCCACTTTCCATCTTTCTCCGTCACGTTTTCATTAGGGGATAGTTCACGCAAAAACGGGTGTTTCCATCTTTCTCCTCAACAAAAACCACTGGTGAAGCCATGATGATGATCTTGTCTGCAATTTTCCTCTTGGTCTGTGGTAATCTCATTGCTGGTTGACGAATCGGTCTGATATCCCTAGTATGGATTATGTTACTTATAATGTTGGTTCTACCTGTTTCTCCATTGGCAGGTATGAAAATCGTTCTACACCTTTGTAGTTCCCCGGTTCTTCTTCTGTCGCTTTTTAAGTTAGTCGCTTGCAGCAGAGAATGAGTTCCTTATACCTCTTCAGTGGTGGCTGTCACCTGATGGATCATGGAGGCTGCCGGGACACAGGTTTTAATCTCCGTTTCTTGGCCTATTGTCACTAGGTCAATATTAAGATTGATGACTTGACCAGGTACATCTTCGTCTGCTGACAGTAACGCTCTGCTGACTAAGATTCCTCGTCCGAATGCCTTGTTTCCGAAACGAACTTATAGCTAACTACAATAGTTAGAAAGATATCAATGTTCCCATTTCCTTCTCAAGCAGGAGAAGTAGTTCACATAATCGAATTTGAGATTTACAAATTGTAATTCTTCATATTGATCGGTTCAAAAGTTAATTTGGGGGGATGGAAGAGACCCCAGATGGGTACTGTATATTAAAGTGCTCTAATAAGTATACAGGGTGTCCCATAAGTAATGGATCAAAAGAAGTGGGGTGGTAGGGGGGGGTCATTTCCAAGCAAACTAGCCGTATATGTAGTTATCCAATTGTTGATGGTTCAAAAGTTATTGAAGTTTTTCCATTTCTATAAAGAGAATTAATTACAATAAAACTAAGTCATATTTGTGATTTTTTCTTTCACAAATTCCATCCACATGGAAGCACTTTTCCTCCGGAATAATTTTATGACATGTATTACTTCTTATCAATTACCTGAGAAAAATGTTGTTTTCCTTTAGTTTTTTCATCGAATGAAATATTTAAGTCGATTTTTCAATGCCACTGGCAGATTTGAAAACTGCTCCACAAAAATTACCAATCATGAGAAAAAATTGCCAATTCAATACAGATTTCGAAATGGTTTACCATATGGGGTTATTGAAAACAGCTTTTTTTATTATTTTTTTTTCAAATGGGTCGCATTTTTCAGAACAATTGAATAACTTTTGAACCATCAACAATTTGATAGCAACATAAATACCATTAGTTTGATTAAAAATGAACCCTCCTACCACCCCACTTCTTTTGATCCATTACTTATGGGATACCCAATATACATAACATACCTTTAGATGTATTTTGCAGAACGAAAAAAGACCTGAGCTTCCCACAATACTAAAGCAACCATCCACTGAGCAATGAATAGGCATTTCACGAATATTTCACAGTACGATTCAACACTACACGGTACTATCCCTACACAATGGATAACCGGCACATCTCGTCATCCAACGACAACTAGTAATTCTGAGCGACATACTGTATCGCACCGGCAGGCGTTGGCCGGCAGAATCGAGTCGTCGGCGAGGGTGCGGCGAGTTCAATTATGTTTGTTAACGTTGGGCTGAGAACATCAGCATTTCAACAACTTCTTGAAACGTTGTGGATTGAGTTCTCCAAGTGCAATTATGTTATAGATCATGTCAGATCCATCGCAAAAGCTGCTTCACAAAAACTCGGATTCTTGTTCCGTGCAAAAAGCTACTCTACACCTCAACAGCTTCTCATGATCTACAAAGCGCAGATACACCCTGTTCTAGAATACTGATCCCACATATGGGGTTCAGCACCGAAACTCACTCACTCTTTGACATCATTGGAACACCGTAGAAATGTCGGCGGCCTTTCACTTTTCAATCGATACTTCCAAGGGAAATGTTCTTCGAAAATCTCTGCTATCATCTCTTTACTAGCAATACCAGTCAGACGAACTAGACAAGCCCAGTCAGCAAAACTCCTCCATCCATAGAACGGCTAGGCTCTGGAATTAATTGCCTGATGAAGTATTCCCAACAACATATAATCTCCAGAAGTTCAAAAAAAATTTTAATACTTACCTCCTGTCCCTATCCTCCCTATAGGAACGCACGATGTTTTTTGAACATTATAGAGATTTCCTTTCGTGCGCTCCAAGAGATAGAAAAACAATAAATTAGGAATATTCGATCCGGCAAGATGAAACGTTCTACAACGTTTTATTATGCGAATACACCGGATGGTTAATTCAATACTATCCTCACTCGATAACTCACGGAAAATTGATTAGGAGAAACGAATCGATTTTTATTTGAAGAGGGACACCGTTTGCTGCGAAAAAGATAATACATACCTCAACCCTCTACTTTCCAGGGCAACTTTTTCAATAATCATATTAGTATTATTAGAATATTAGGTAATCATCTTATTTACGTTCTAACTGTGCACCTCTTCGAGGGTTATAGGGAAGATTGGTACATTTATGTACATTGAAACTTACTATAGCCCTTTTCAGTCTCAGTAAATTATATATTTATCATGTTATGTTAAAAATGAAATGCATATTACTGTAGTTTATTGTTGTATATTATTGCTGAATCACTGAATAAACGACTAAATAAATAAATAAATAAATAGCAAATAAAGGTCGTGTTGTCATTATCATTGTCATTGCATAGGTAATTCGATCCTCCTAGCAGTACGGAGTTCTTGTAATTCCGACAAGGCGTTCCAGAGATATTCGAGATAAAATGATATGTTCTTCAATTGTTATCAAATGAATGTTTGGTTCAAGATCATTCAATTAGTATCCACAACAAAATTGAAATTCTCCTTCATTAAGCTCCAGGCAGTGGTAGGGTCTATTTGCAAAGTTCTCTTGTACATATTGTTATTGTGTAGTATTCAATTTCTATTCTCCTTCTCAAGTCGTAGAGATTAGTAGATTTCGAACTTTAGATGGAGGATTCCAAATTACTTCGAAGAAAGAAATCATTGGGTACCAAGCCTGGCGAGCGTGGTCACCCTAAAGAGAAATATTATTGGGAAACATGTCTTGTGAGGCACTCTACGACCTATCGATTTGTTCACGTTATTTCAGGATGGCCGGACCTTGATGAGTAATCGGAATCTATCGGCAGATGACATTCATCTTGAACATGATAGTGCGCCACCTCATTCCGTATCACAGATGAGAGAATGGCTACCCCCAAAACAAATGGATAGGTCGCCGGATATGGCACCCTATGATTTTTTCATGTGGGGTCACTCGAAATCTTTTATAATTCTTCATTGAAATATCAAATTCTACTGCTGAGAATACGTGATTCCATCGAACTTCGCGGAGGCAATGGCCGAAAGATAGTTGTTGATCTGACCTGAATAGTGGGAGGAACAGGAAAAATTGCGACAGTCTGGTAACCAGGTAATATAGGCTCGTATTCCAAAACATATTTTGTTCACTTCCTTGTCAGTTATTTTCAGTTATTTTGAAAAATATAGTGGAGGCCAATTTCCATAGCATGACTGTAGTTCAGAGGTGAAGTTATCAGGTTTGATATTTCAGTCATCAATTCCGTTGTATCACCTCCATTGACTTGCTCATCTCTGCTCATGAAACGATGTATCCAAACAATACACTCGCGATTGATAGCTTCGACCAGTAGTGAATCAGACTGTGATACCAAAGTTTTTGCCTCATTACTCATGTTCAAATAGGTACCAACATCGAACAGCGCAGTTTATCAAAAAAACTAATTTGCTCATAGAACTTTAAAGCTTTGCAATTCATTGCGTATGAGTTTGTTTTTCTAAGATCTCAAAATCTCGAAACTTTCAGAACAATTTTAATACCTAACTCCTCTCCCTATCTTTCCTAGGTACGCACAATGATCTTCGAATATTACAGGGATTCTTTTCTGCTCGCCCCAAGTGATAAAATTTTGTTTGTTTCAGAGAGACGACGTTCTGAAAAAAGTTCAAGACATTTTGATGGACTGGAAATCTCGAATGGTGAAATATTGATTGGAAACATATTCTCAAGTGAATTTTCGAGAAAGTTACATGAAGCCTGTATAAACTCGATCAGATATTTGAATAGAGAATATCTGAACTATCTCAGTGAGCCATGAGGAGAATTACACTCAAGTACCAATGTAGTTTCGATTCAAATGAATAATTACCTACCAATAAAATCAATCGAATAAGTTGGATCATATTCATTTCAAGTTTGTTTGAGTACTACCAAAACAGAATGCGAGGACGATGATATCGTGATGACCTTCATGATCTACAAATATAAAATTACAAATCAAGTGGGAATGATTTCGTGCTCTTTTCTCTGGAAATCGATACTATGACTCCACTTTGGGAGACTAAGCACATGGTTTTTAGACACGATGGTCCATCATCGGTTTCAAAAGCAACAGTTCTCCGATAATGAGTTCAATGTTGACATGCTTGATATGAAGAAACCATCACAATTTCGTGGCCATTGTGGTAATCAGTCGGCTGTATCAATACCCACAAGAAGCTCCTCTTGAACTGGGTAAAGTGAAGGCCCTCATGGGTCCGTCGTATTCAACGTTTCGTAAACTCACGTCCCAAGAAACCATTTCCGACCCATTACGAGCAAATTGTCGTCTCTGTTTCATTTTCAAGAAACCTAGTCCTATTGACCATCATAAGTGGGAAATGTGACTAAAATTGTGATTGATTTGATTGCTAAATATGGCATAAATTTTGTCCAATAGTGAGTCTGAAGTATATTTGATTTTTTTTTTCAAGATGTGTCCTGATTGTGCCTCTCGTTTCCATTATGTACTTCAAATTGAAGTTTGATGTGTCCACAATCTGTTCATTTAGTTTCTTGGGTCACAATTAATATTTTCCATTCATTGTGTGGGTATCGAAAGAAATCCAAATTGATAAGAATCTTACCCAGGCAGCACAGAAATATTCTATGAATATTCTGATAAGTTCAAATATACTGATTCAAGAATATTCTCATAAAATGTTCTTAGAATGATCATGGAATAATCTCAACCTTGTAGCCAACTTATGAAATTTTGAAAAATATTGTTGTAATTTAATGTAAAGGAAAAATATTCATGAGTGCTTACAAGGCACGGCAGCTGTTCGTCTGGCGAGCCATGGTAGTGAATTCAAACTATTGAGTGACGAAGGGCACCACTTGATTTGATATAAACAAAACCAAGAAAGTTATATTAAAATTCAGTCAACTTCCTGAAAGAGAAATCAAAGGAAAAACACTGTGTGAACTCAAATATTGTTTAATGATGATATATGTTGAATTTGTCAATACCTACAAAGTCACAGAGGTCTAAATATAGTAGTATTCAAAAATAGTCTCAGTAAAAATAACTTTTTATAACCTTTGCATTTATGAACCCTAGAAATCCCCTTTATAGTACTATAAACCGGATGCACATAGTATGTGAAGTATGTGAAGTATGTAAAATATGCATTTACCAAAATATTAAATTTTATGAAAAATAATGATGAAAAATACTAGATATTAAGACATCCATTGATAGAATCAAAAAAATACCATAATCAGTGAGTAACTGTAATTAGTTGGGGTCGCTTTCTTACTCAGACCATGTGGCTAGTGGAGATTGCTAGTGGAGATCACTAGCGGAGTGACATTTTGATGGAATTCTCAGCCTTATTCGCCAGGCTCTCCAATTCTCAGTGGGGAAGTACTCAGAGCAGCAGTCACGTAGGTGAGCCCCCTTCTGATGGGGTCCAGCAGGTGAATCTCTTGTCGCAGCCGGCAAGATGCAGCTCCTAAGTGATGTAGCTGCGAAGCGTGATGAGACAGCAAAGCCTGAAGATACAGCAAAGCCTGAAGATGCAGTCTAGACCGATTAGCCTGTGCAGCTTGAAGATGCTGTAAAGCCTGCGGAGTCCAAGAAGTCTGCGTTGCCTGAGATGCCTGCGGAGCCTGAGATGCCTGCGGGGCCAAAAGGGCCAGGAATGAGCGACGTGCCGGTGGGGTATCGTGTGCCTGCGACGCTTGAGGAGGCTCCTGTTCCGGAGATGGGATCTCTCCGTTGAAAGGAAGAAATGGCCGCGTGGTCGACGCGGGGTACCAAAGAGGCCCGCAGATCTATAGGAATAGATCCGAATAAATAACCAACCAATATCAAAGAAGGAATGAAACACTTGATTTTGAAAAGTTCAAAAACTTACCCCAAAAAGGAAAGGCCTCAATTTCAGAAAAGTACACCAAGAAATGATCGACGTTGCCCATCTTGCCAAGATAGAAGGTCGAAGTGGCTTCTCAATATTTTTGGGAGGGATAGCCTCCTGCGCCTTTTCAGAACATTTCAGCCCAAAACAAATGATGAAAAAACAGGATACAACTCATATGCAAACTTTGCGCACTAGAGGAAATACAGGTTGATATTACGCATCATGCATGTGACTAAAATGCTGGTTTGTGATTTGCCCAAAATGTGATGACAGCTCCTAAATAAACGAGCATCCCGACTTCTTTCGAATGGGATTCCATAGGACCAGGATGAACAGATGTGACGACCTTGAAAAATACACAGAACAAGACTCTTCGCCTTCCGATGGGTGACTCGCGCCAGTATTTCAGAAAGTATCAAGATCATTCCGGCTGCCAGATGTTCCGTCCTCAACTTCCAACTGTTCCGCGCAGGTTACCTTGTCCTTCCCATTTGACAATTTGACAATCACTTGTCAAGAAATGTCAAATGAAATTCCAATATTTCAATGACAGCTAAACAATAATAAACAAAGAAATAATCATTGAAATTACATATTTTATCATCAGGACCATCACCTATGGCAGGAAATTGGAAATATACGAGCTAAATAATGTACTGAGGCCAAACATCCATCGGAATCAACATCTTGGAAGTAATCTCAGAAGCAACAAAAAACAGACCCGGAAGGAGAAGACAATCTCAAAACAAGTGAGTACTTTTTAATTATTATTCGATCAAATAGTTATGTTTAATTCTATTTTCAGGTCGTAGAAGTCTGATCAACTGAGGACTCATCCATCACCAGTATCAAGTGTCATGTAAATATGGAATCTGAATAAAGAATTACAGATAGTGTCTCAGTGCTTTTATACTTGAATTATAAAGATGGAACTGAAAATTCGAGAAAAGGCAATTTTCACGTTACAACCTGCAGGGAATATTGTATGAACATCCAATTTGACATATTCTCAGAATATTCATTTTGAATATTCTGAGAATATTTGTTTGGAGGATTCTGAGAATTTTCAGAATTGTTTCAAATTAAATGATATTGATGTTTCTATTCTTGTATCAATCAGAGTGATTGCATGGGTAGCATTATTCAGTCAATCTGACTCCCAGTGACACCGTTAAGGGGTACGGATGTGTGACTTTCCAGAAAAAAACATGGGTGCGATGAAACTTTGAAATCGTATTCGAAAATATGAGAGAGGATGCTATTGTGTAGAAAATGGCACCAAGTGTTGGAACTCGTGATGACACACTGTTTTCGAGAAGAACCGAATAACCAAATTCAACTCCAAATCTTGATGTAGATGTCCGAGGTTTTCGAATGATTTATTGCAGAAATTTGTCCAAATTACTTTATAACCATGATATATATCATTTTGTTATTGTGGCACTATGCCAGTCCTATAACAGACCGAATCTGGCTACCATGGAGAGTCACACAGGGTGAATTTGACGGAAACTATGAATATTCAACACACTGAATCTCGCAAACAGAGCCTTCTACGACTTTTTTTTTATGGAAACTTCTTCATTTTCTTGAGACGCCTTATAACCTCTTAGAGTGCGTTCGACATATCATGAAACACCCTGTATAGAGAAGGGATCATTGTCGGGATTGTGAAATATCAACTCATAGGCCGTGGTTTCTGAATTTGATTCATTGGTACTCACAATAATCTGTTAATTGCATCGCTATCTGGATTCTCACTCAATAATTCATCATAGCCTTTGAAAACTCTTCGTCTCCACCACGTCACAGTGAGTCCACCACAATAACAAGGGACCTCAAAATAAAAAAAACAAAATTCAAATATTCTTGATCATCAGAACACCATGCTCCATTCGAGTCGCTACAAGTAGTATACGACAGAGAACACTCAGTGCAATATCATACATGTTTCCCTACCTATGAGAGCCACCTCGACCATTTTTCCCATGTTAATTTTAATAAGGAATTTTGAGTTGAAAAATAGCATAAATGGCTCGATAAAGGTCATCCGGCTCCGATGAGCTGCTGATGAAATATAGCTTGTTATAAGAGGTATCTGCTTGAATTTCACGAAAATTTATTCAAGAAGGGCCTCAAGGGTCATATAGTGGATATTTTGCCATCTATAGCTTGTTGAATATCAAATGGAAGGCATCTACTTGAATTCTACAAAAATTAATATTTTAAGGGCCTCAAAGGCCATATAGTGATTGTTATGCCAACTTTATCTTGTTATATATCAAATGGAAGCTCCTTACTTGAATTTTACGAGAAGGGCTTCAAGGGCTTGAAGGGCTTCAAGTGCCATATAGTGTATATTATACCAACTATAATTAGTTATATTTGCCGTGTATGACGTCCTTCGGTCCTCTCTACCGGAGAGGCCCATACAAACGGTTTCACCGACTGAGAGAGGATACGGATGTTAGTGGATGCAAAACAGTCACTGAAGAGGTGAGCGAGAGGGCTGGCGAAAAATAAACAATTCCGTGAAAAGCCCTCTCGTTTATTCCAACCGCCTCCAAGTGTGGTTGATAATCCGTCGACCGCTGATCAGGTGGGAATCTTTTGGAAGAGTATTCACAAGGTGAGGCATCCATTCAACAGAGATACTCCAGCCCTGGCGCAGTTTGGTACCTTCTGCGAAAGATACCGAGAGCCTGAGCCCAAATCACTGTGCCAACCGATAACCACTGAGGAGGTTCGAGAAGCCCTCAAAGGCTCCAAGAACTTTGCTGCTCCTGGTCCCGACGGAATCAATAACGTCTGGTGGAAAAAGTTTCCCCTTACCCACCACCATTTAGCTAGGATATTCAATAGCTGGCTAAATGGAAAGCAGCAAATTCCTGAGTGCTATATCGAGGGGCGAACCGTGCTCCTCCCCAAGACTGTAGATTTGTCGAATCCAAAGAATTACAGACCATTTACCTGCCTGAATGCAT